ATATTGCTGGACAGTTACGTATTGCTTAGAGACCAAGAAAGAAAAGATGCAATATGGGAGTCGATAGCAAAAAAATAATCAAATTTGATTTGTGACATTCGAAAATATTGGAAAACTTTTCTTCGAATCTTTTAATTCAGGAAACAAATGATGAAATTCGCCATATTGCTTTCTCTTTGATTTATAGGAATTGAACCAAAAATCTTTTCTTAACTTCCTTCTCTTCCTCCTCTTCTTCACACAAGCTAAAATAATAATTTCTTCCTCTGAACTACTCATTTTCAATACTTCTATGTTGCACGCTCTAGTAGTTGAGCCTTGACAACTGTACTTTTTTCCAAACTCTCGCTTATGTTGCTGGTCTGTGGCGGTAAAGTGTGCGATGTCATGCAGGATGCAGGTTTGTGCTGTGCTAGTCCGTACTGGTCCGTGTAGGTATAGTGTGCGCGATCTTTAAGAACCACACATGAGGGGCAACGGCCCAGCTACGTCGAAACACCGGTTCCCATTAGAACACCGAAGTTAAGCGACGTAAGGCGATGCTAGTGGATGGACGGGTGACCGGTTCGAAACTTTGCATCGTGCTGTTGTCCAAAAGGGAAAAGTCTAAAATCTATTGATACACACTGCTCATTCACGCCGGTTTCAGGCCGGATGAGATCGGATATCTCGTGAGTAAGAGTTAATTTAGACACTTCCTAAGTCGGTAGGCCATTGACCATGATATGGCCGAGGACCGCGGTTCGGATTCCGCGTAAACAAGTAGGTCCCGTCCAGTTTAGCCATTGCAGCAGAAAGGAGACGTTAACTTGAACCTCAAAAAAAAACCACACATGAATTTTCAAACCTTATTGGGTATATTCAAGTAACATGATTAGAGAAATACACATCAAAAATATATAGGTCAAAATTTTAATATTAAGTATTTTGCTTATTGAATTTTGTCATGTCAAGTATTTTTTATGGCTTATAGTTCAATACATTTCAATATACAGGGTGTTCTTAAATAAGTGCAAATATTTTCAGGGCTGGTAGATCTCGATAAAAAACACATAATTTTTTTTTCGTATTTTACCATTGTTAGGCAAATTTGAACTGTAAACATAACTTCTGACAAGCAGTGTCTGTTTAGGTTTAACGCAGAAGTGTTCACAAAAAATAACGATTTTATTTTGTAGATTTTCTAGAGGAAAGCAGAGGAAAATATTTTAACTAAAAAATATATATCGTCGGCTTTATGACGAAAAGGCGTATCTCGATTTTTGCTACTTTTCAGGAGAGCAATTTAAAGAAAATCACTTACTTTATTTTGCCTATAAATGTAAAGTCTTTAATTTTTTAATAGTGTTTTTGTATTAACACTTAAACGGAGACATTGAGGAAACGTTCTGAAGATAAATTGAGCGTAAATTCTAATAAATAATTTATTTTTAGTTGTTTAATTGAGATAGGCCTTTTTGTTATAATAATGTTACGTTTTTCGTCGGTTCCGTGTGGATAGAAAGTCACAATTTATTTAAACACTATTTATTTAACACTAATTAACAAAAATAATAACGATAAAGACTTATAGAACTGTTTACAAACGATTTATAACTAAAATTTATTTTGAATTTTAGCGCGTCAACTGTATATTTATAACTGCCCTTTCTAGGTCACGGCCGCCGGCTTTTATACCGGCAGGTAAAGAACTCTAGAATTGTCCATAGATCGTTAGGTGCGTAGAGAAGGTTTTCCAATGTTCTCGTATGTACTCGTCCATTCCGGTGGGACTCGATTCTTCTCGAACGAATGAGTCATTGCGGTGTCTATGCGATGTTAAGGTCATCCGAGGGCGGGCCATATTGTGAGGTTAGGTCGAGTCCGCACCGGCCCGCAACACTGCCCCCTTCTTAGGCACATGCTCGTCCAGAGATGTATACGGTGAATGAAGGTATTTGCAAAGCTGGCCCCTGGTACATTGCGAGGTCTGGTAGAAATAGCAGTCTACAGTTTTTTCTCCCGATCTCAGCTTTGGGTTGTAGCAGAAAACGAGGATCTCGATTCCCGTAAATCTGAACAAGACTTCAATCATGTTTCGGATTGTACGCCAACTCAAACCATCGAGTCACACGCCAGCTTCGGAATGGCTAATCGTGCAATGTTGTTGTTTAGCAGGGCTTCTCTCAGTTCAATCGGGGTCTTCCATAGATTGAGATAAGTCAGCTTACTCGGGGACCATTCCTTGGTGACAGGTAGAAGATATTGTCTTGCTTGACCATGTGCATTGTCGGTTAGCCTCAAGACGCTTCCAACCTCTGGATCCTGGCGTAGTTCTCCGACACGCCCAAACTTCTCATTGAACGTCGCAGCGATTCCTCTGGACATCGCAAATCTCGAGCCACACAATGAGCGAGCGAATAATCAGGAGGCACGGAAGAGGTCTCGTTGATCTTCTTTGGTTACACCATAGCGAGCCCTCTCACTGCTGTTGTATCGGGCCATGAAATCGTCAAAGGACATCTCCGAATCAGGGGATCAAAGCTGCAGGTTCTCGCGGTCCCAGCACGATCTTCTATTTCACCTTGGTATGGGCTCAAACGGTTGAAATGGACTATCCTCGGTTTTCCTTTTTGGCAATTTTCTGATACGGTATGCGACGTCATTAATCCTATCCATGACTTCGTATGGCCCTTCCC